CCCCAAAACCCCAAAACCCCAAAACCCCTTATGTTTCATAATTTATTGAAAAATGTCAAGATGGTTTCAATCAAAGCCTAATGCAGATATTGGGTCTAACTCCTCACTTTTAGGTATGATATTGATCAGATTAGCTTCTGAATTATAAAAGCCATCTGAAATAAGCGAATTATAATTATTTATCAAATTGGATCTTTCTAAATTCAACTCAAACTGCTCACACCACTCTTTAGCAAGCCCAAATGCTAAAATTCACAAGCTCAATTCCCGTATGGGATCAATGCGATCATCATATTCTACCACAAAGAAGAGCGAGTTAGCAAACCTGGCCTAACCCTTATAGAAATTTATCGAAAAAGCTTCAGTTAAAATAAGCTAGGTTATTATAATCCAAATATCAAGATCAACAGAGCTCAGAACTATTTCTTCGAAATGTTTAAGAAGAGTAAGCACAGGTGTGACTTACTCTAATTCCACACACTATTTTTCTATCTAACGAGACCATCAGCGAGTGGTACTTCACCTCGAAAAGTGGTAAAGTTCTGAGGAAAAACCTGGAAAATTTGAAAATCATGGAAGTCTTTAAGGCTCTTCTTAGAGTTCCTGAATTTACTTATGCGGTCAACGAGATCCAAAGTCTTAAGACAATGCCATTTACAGATGAAAGTTATATATTACAACAGATAGAAAAAGCAGCCCAAGAGAACCCTAATGACAGTAATATAATAGCGAAGTTATATGAAACTTATGGTAACAGCTCAGATTGGAATTCCACCAGGTACAAGTTCCAAACGGATCAGAGCATGAACTCAACTTTCTATAAGTGGAACAATGAGCCGACTGTGACCTTTACTGTTAACAAAATTATCAAAAATTGTAAATAAGGCTACCCATGATGCAGAGATTAATATTCTAGACAGTACCCTACCACCTATTGCATATGTGAGACTTGAGGTAGGAGAAAGCAGGCTTTTCCGTCCTCATGAATTCTATAAGCTCATCACTGAATCCCTTGATAACATTAGGGTTATACAGTCATTAGTATGCTACAAAGGGAGCATCCAGCCTCCATACTGCTACAGTACCTATATTTGTGAGTACAAATGTAGGGATTCCACCACAGGAGATAAAGTAGGCCAAGTCTTTCTAATCCTATAGTTCACCTTTTATAAAGGAAAAGTCAGTCTTCCTCTCGAAAAGAGGCTCAAAATCGACAGATTATCTATAAATTCCTCTCTCCTTAAAGAGAAACTCAACATGAGTGCCAAACAGCTGAGGGATCATTTTGAGAAGGCATACCAGGCAAAATTGGTGTATGCCAAGTTCAAGTTCATCCATGATGTCTTTGGCAAGATGTAACTTTATGATCATACCTGTAGATACTACATCGGAGCAACTGAAGAGATATTTTATCTGCCAAATCTGGGTATTAACAACATCAAAATTAAGAAGATCATTCGACTGAAATCTCGACAGTACGAATAAGTAGTCAAATTTTAGGAAAAAGGTTAAAACATGCTTTGGACAATTCTGAGACTACAGAAAGTACGTCAATAATTTCCTAAACTTATAGGTACTCTGAAGAGGAGACATTCCAATTTGGTATTAACCCTTACTGACATATAGATTGTAAATAATTTCAACAATCAGCTCGAAGATGAGTTCTATGAGATATTTGGAGCTTTGATTAAATAAAGCTCATGACCAACCAGTCTTAGTGAATAAGTTATTAGAAAGGCATAAATTCTTACACAAAGATGAGGAACCTAGCAGATTTGCTCCTAGTGCTTCGAGTGAATACAGTCGGACTGATACTCTTTATGAATCAAGAACAATGTTGTCCTCTCAAACTCCTTCTGAGAAAAAGTTGCCAACAATCACCAAGACTTCTCACTTCAAGAGACGATTCAACTTGAAAAATTATCATAGTTTCTACAGAGTTGTAAAAGTATGTCGCCACTGATACCAAGTCTACACAATGCTAACTGACTATTTCAACGAGATTGAGAACTTGCCTAAGAAAGGAGGTAAAAGAGCCAGAAGCCAAGGGGCCAAGCGATCCTTTGGAGGTAAACCCCCTGCTCATAATATAGACTTTCAAACCCCAGAGAAAGGCCAGGACACCAAACTCAGCTCCAAAAAGGCTTTCTTAATCAAGACACTGAGTCAAGCAAAGAAGAGAAGAAAAAGCATTCTACTCAATAAACCTCCACTACCTCATGCTTATTAAATACAATGAGCTAAATTCCATTCAATACACCCAGCTAATCCAGGGGTTTTGGGGTTTTGGGGTTTTGGGG